TATATTATTCATATCTATAATAAAATATTTAGATAATAATTAATAATAATTAATAGAATATTTATATAAAAAATGTTTTTGTTTTGCATAAATAAAAATTCTAGTACATATTGTTAAAAAAAATTAAAAAGTATAATGTACTATTTTTTTGCAAAATATAAAATGATAATATTTTGCAAAATATTTTGGAGAAATTTTTAGTTTAAAACATGAAAAAAAATAATCGCTTTCATAAGATACGTGTTTCATTCATATTACCTACCTTCTAAAAAAGGCACTGTTTTACAGATAATTTGCATTCCTTCGTCGTCGGACAGGATGGCAAACAAAGAAACGCAAAATACAATTTACGAGAAAATTCCTGTCAAAGGAACTCTTTCTCTTTCCTTCTCTTCGTTTCTTTTTGTTTTCGTTATATTACGTGTTTTGTTCGATTCGTGCGAAACATCCATAAAAAGAGAAACAAAACAGTCGTAAGGAGAACGAGATAGGAATTCGATAGGAATAATCGTGGTGAAAAATGTAGTGTAAATGATACGAGGTGGAAATAAACTATGCTACTGAATTTCAATTTTTTTAAATTTGATGTATACGAATCAGTATTTTTTTTTCATAAAAATAAGATTTTAATACAAATATATATATAAATATATATATATATGTACAAGTGTATCATTTATAATAAATTTTAAGAAAAAAAAATAAATTTTAAATGATTTGTTCATTAATTAATATTCTAAACTAATTTCCTTTCTGATAAATATTTTTAAAATTTATTTATTTGATATTTTGTAAATAAAAAAAAATTGTACACAAAAATTATCCATTAATCTTTGTCAAATTTATATAAAAAAATCGTCTCGTGAAACAATATCATAGAAATGTGACTATCCATTATTATTGATTAATTGAAATATATATCGATATAATGATATATTGATAACATCGTTAAGATAAAGAAAAGTGACTAAGGAAGAATATTAATTAATAAATAAATCATTTAAAATTTATTTTTTTTTCTTAAAATTTATTACAAACAATACACTGTGTGTATATGTATATATATATTTGCATTATGATCTTATTTTTATGAAAAAAAATAGTGATCGAAAATCTCTAGATTAAGATATTTATATGCTTAAATTTATTTATTTTACTAAAATTAAAATTATTTAGAAAAAAAACTTTCATATATATAACAAATTTATTTGTTTTAATCCAATCTGCCCATTTATTTATTATTTTATTTACATCTAAGATTAAAACAAAAAAAAATTTATTTTATATATATATAAATTTTTTTATAAATAATTTTAATAACTTAAAAGATACAATATAAAAATGTGGATATATATTCTATACGCAAAAAGGGTTTGTATAAATGAGTTCATGTAGCAATTCGTAAATAATTCATAAATCAAACAACTGGATTGGTCAAGGTGAAACTTTTATATTCTTGCCCTATCTTTTTTTTTTTATTTGTTGAGAACAGCAAAATGGTCGGCAAACGGCCAAATAGGGCAAGTTTTATGAAATATTATTATTTTTCTTTTACTGGAACCATAAAACGATGGATATATAGAGATAGAAAGCTGGAACACATTTGTAGATACATTAATAGCAATGAAGCATATTATTTCTAGTTATAAAGAAATTGTCAAAAGTATAATGCAATGAATAAACGAAAAGTAATTGAAAATCAGAATCAACCATCATTTAATCATTATAATCGATTATTGAAAGTAATCGTAATAATCATAATCATTAATCGAATCTTCACAGAAGAGTATATTGAGAATAATCTTCACAGAGACTAATCTAGTAACATTGTATATTTATATGATATATAATATAGATATATAATACAGATATAGCAAATGCTTGATATTATCGACCAATCGGTTAATAGATTAATAATGGATTCAATAAATGATTGAAATGCCATCTGGCAATAATAAAAATAATTAATATCTAGTTTAAAAGGAATATTTTTTTTAATTTAGTTAATAATTATAATTGATATAAAAGAAAATGTTTTTCTTATATAATATACTGCTTTCATCTTCAATTTTTGTATGATAAATTATTTTCATATGTAACAATAATTAATAAATATACCAAAAACACATGGTATATTATTTTTAAATTATCAAAATGTTTAATAAATGATGCATATTAAAGTAAATAAGTAATTTGTTTTATATATCAAAATAATATAAATAGTAAGTATATACATATTTTTACATAAAATATGATATTATTATATTATTATAATTATTCTTATAATAATATATATATAGGATTTATTATTAATATATGATAATAAATTAATCACTAATTCAATCATAATTTAAAGTATAATTATCTTATAAGTATTGAATTAATTATGATTAATTTTCTTAATCATTAATCAATGATTATTGATTATTTAATAATTATTGAATAATTAACATCATGATTTTGCATTATCGATATATCAAAATTATATAATAAGATATCGATAAGATATCGATAAAATATCGATAATCGATACTCACAATATTAATTCGAATAATCGATATTTTATTGTAATATTAAAAAAAAAACAAACAAAACTTATACTTTCACTAAATAGAATATAATTTCTCAGATGTATCATATTTGCAATATAGCAACAGATATTGTATCAAATAAATAATATTTACATATATATATATAACATATACACATATACATATATATATAACACATACATATATTTATATATAATATATAAGTCATATGTTGAATCGATTTCGTGCACAACGAAAACAAATATATATACAAGCAACATATATGAATGGCGGGCACGTTTTCAAGTTTTTAATACATTGGATCGAATTTGTGGTGAGATCGAGCATCAAGTTACTTCAATTCAATGCCGAGAGAAAAGTTCGATGGAAAGAGATGAACAGTGTTTGCGAATGTTCGTCCACAGAACGGAAGAAAGGAAAAGTAACGAAATTGAATTCCAGAGACGAAGTAAGGAGGAAACAACGAAAGGTTATTGAAGAAGAAAGTTTGACGAAAACTAGAAATACGGTTTCCGTGTTCTTCTTTCCAAGTTGATATCGAATTGCTATCTTATACCTAATCTCACCAAGACTTTCTTATTAAATCTTCGATTCGAATTTTCAATTTAATCTTAAAAGCATCGTGCCTTTAAAACTTTTTTTTGATTCGAAGAGAAATTCACGCAAAAAAATTTTTGGTGATTTTATTTTATTATATGATTATTTTATTTAGAAATATCAAAAATAAATTATTTGTATTTTTTTTATTTTGCTTTTTAAATATATTAATCTTTTTCTATAATTTTTGTTTTTGTTTCATTTTTATCTCCACGATCACGATGCTTGCCTAAATTCCAATGACGTAACTTTAACTTGCTAATTATTGCCCGATAAACTGTCTCTTTTTCTGTTTACTTTCATTATATTTATTCTGTTTTCTTGTTGAAGAGTTCGAGTTTAAGACAATTTCTTGGAAGTTACTACCTGCTCCATGGGAATTTCAATTTAATTAATTTACTTAAATTTAGACAAGCATTATTGTGACTCTGATGAGAGTAAGA